GACCACTATAAGGACATGCGAAGAATTTACTTACATTTTAATCTATGCTTAGATAAGAAATAAGATCTATGTATGTTTTTGAAACTTAATTCCGTGATTCATGATGATTTCTCAGTTGAACCATCTGCCAGAGAAATCTAATTTTCCTGAGCTTTTCGATCACTTAATAATCAATGTATCAACTTCAATCAATGCATTATCGTTGCTAGGTTCTTGATAAACAAGTTGGGGGTATTGCAAAGAAGAGGCAAAGTCACGGAATCGAGTGACATTCGTGGCACGCAGCAATGAAAATGTTAAGGAAACGAAGAACGAAAGAAAGCCTCAAAGTTGGTTGGAGAGAAACGACTTCGAGGAACTGTCGTCGGGCTACACGAAACTCGAAGATCAATGAAGATCATGGACGAAAGCGAAGAAAAAGAAGGAAAAACCGTGAGTACTCTCACGAGTCGGAAAGGAGCCGTCTAATTTTCCGCACGCGAGTGATCCGACGGCACTCGGGAGAGCTGCAACAACTCGTTTTCTTGCCGACAGATTCCACTAACGAACGAACAAACTCGTACGACGCACCACAGCCCCCTTTCTAATAATTACTCCGTCGAGAAGAACGTATGTCGAAAGGGGAATTTAATTCGAGCGTATCCGCGAGTCGGATATCGGGCGATGAAAAGGAAAGAAAACACAGTTTAAGGACCGTCGTATAGTTTTCGTTAGCGGTGGATATAGAGACGGAAGCATCGATCGCGAATTTATTAAGGTACAGATTAGCAACGATTCATCGACGATAAACATCCGGTGGTCGGTAATTAAACTGTTAAAGGGCATATAATAACTTCGAGCGTCTGACGTGATTTACTTACCATCGAATATTATCATAATTAATTACACGTGGCCGAACCGGTGCGGTATATAATTAGCAGAAATCGCAAAATTGCCGATCGATCGACGATCATTATCTCATTTTGAGTTTTACAGCGCGTATTAAACGAGAAACGAGAAAAGAAAGGAGGGAAAAGAAAACACGAGAAAGAAGAAAAAGAAAGGAACATTCGTCGACGATGGTTTGGCCATCATTCGAGAAAAACGAAGCGTGTTCGAATGGCTTGTTAAAGGAAAGAAGGATCGAGCATCAGAATATGTCGCTTGGAACGACGAACAACGACTGGATATCGAGAGAGAAACGAAGGAGCATCGATGGAACGAAGGAAAACGAGGAGGTCTACGCAAGAACAAAAGAGGAATACAAGCACGTACGGGACATTGGAGGGATGAAATCAATATGGAGAGCGTATCGAAGAAAATTATTGTTATCAAGGTTGCGCAGGGCCATCCAGCGTGAAACGTCATTTTCAGGTTCAAGCCTCATGGCTTACTGCCGCGCGATAGAGATTGCTCGAGCATAGAATCTAATTATGTGATAAACATTGTTGCGCGGCACACCTGCTCGTAAATAACATAGAATCAAACACGTATCACGTTACACCGTAATACACAAGGCCCTCGGGAGGAGAACAGGTCCCTGGACCCTGGCGAACCGCAATCGACTATCTTCGATATAAGGTACTCGGTCCTGCGCGTGTTCCTTGCCAGGATTAATTATATTCTCCCCTATCGAACATAAATTAACACGACGAAAAGAAGGAGGCACGATATACCGAGTAATTACGCTTTTCGGTGTGATACATCGTAACGCAACCAACCAGCTGGTTTGCACGTTCTTGCTCCTCGTGAAAATCGAGGACATACGAAACAAGGAAAAGACGTGAGATGTAATGTTCGATTATAGGGCAGGAATGTCGCTTTCGAAGAACGTGACGGATGAATAATAACCGCGAGACGGTAGATCGTTGCTCGAAACTCCAATAAAACGAACTCAGGGCTATTAACGTTATATAAGGGGGAGGGGGTATTATCTGGAGCACTCTACGATTTCACTTCAAAAATGGATTTTTCGTCGTATCGCGTTGCTCATCGAAAATAACCGCACGATCACGCGCTTACGTGGAATATTTATTCAAACAAGCCTTAGAGCTAAGACCTTATCGACAGATACGATATCGGCCAACTTTTTCTCACCGGCATCAACTACGCCGTCTGTTTGCAGTTGCATTTTTGAATATTAGTGCAATTATGTAGACACGCATACATATACCGGTCGTTCCGTTGAACAGCCGAGATACCGAAACACGGTCGAGCACAAACGAACGCACCAGCCACGATAATTGCCCGCGGATTAAACATAATATGCTCGCGCCGTTATCGATAATACGAAATCAAAGATAACTCTTCGTTTTTTTTTTTTTTTTTTTTTTTTTTCGTTTTTTTTTTTTTTTTTTTTTTTTTTTTTTTTTTTTTTACTCATTTTTCTCGAAGTCGCGATTAACAAGGGTATGTATTAGGTGCTCGACGTTGAAATCGAAACGCTCTATTCGACAGTGGTATCGTTTTTATCATAAGTTTCAATAAAAATAAATACCACTAGTTGCTGAATTTCATGTATGTAACTTTTGCAGGAGCTTTGCTACTAAGAACATGATCATTTCTATTTTTTTCTGTTTTCTTCTTCTTCCTCCTATTTCCTAGTTTGCAATGTGTTACGAACGCTCGACTCTTATCAGACTATTCCATAGCGCTGTTTACATTGCATTTTATTGAAACTAATAAAGATCCGGCTGTTTAAAATCAGATAATGCTCGCCTCGACTTGTATCATTTTAATTATGATCATTCTTGTTTTCGTGGCATCGCGAGGCTCGCGACGCCGACACATTACGCCGCGATAATAAACATGAAAGATAACTCGACGTACAGCCAAGTATAAGTACAATAATATTTAGTTTTTATAGAATAATCAGTGAATTTATCGGTGGTAAATCGAGCGGACGATACAGGAGAATTTTTCCTATCTTTCCTCTGTCCCACTCTCGTATTCTACCATCGATCTATTCTTTATCAGCGAATGCGTCGAAATCGAGGTAAGAAGTTTTTCTATGCTAGTTTTATCTGTCGATTGGATCGTCGCTGTTCACGTGTCCACTACTTCAAACACGTGTCATTGAGGCTGAATTAAAACTGTATTAAGACTGGTCGATACGTATCATAAGCTCGAGCAAAACATATTCAACGATACGTCGAATAGCTTAACGTTCCCGTCGAAAATACGTTCGTGTCTCGTATGATGTCACCATGCAAGTTCGACTAAATAAAAACCAAAACGTTATTGGTATATTTGCTCGAGTAGTCAATCGGCATACGCTTTACTGTCATGAATCATAAGGCTTAATAAGACGCAAATTATTGACACAATTTAATCAGTTGAGACGCAGATACGGTGAAAACCGATGTTTTAGATAAACACGATTATTAAGAAGCGGCGCTCAATAAACGAATGACCACTATTTCCTTTAAATAACGATGACTATCGTTCCAGTTAACGATAAGAATACACCACGTACTTTCTGATGGAAAATACGCTGCTTACTCGTATGACGTAACGCTAAAAATTACAAGAACACGCAAGAAGCGCGAATTTCAATTACATACGTGTATACGTTGCTTCGAACGAAACGCTACACGAATTTATTCATGGAGAATTCCCTTATGGCGAAGGGAAATCGTTGGCAGATTGCATGCACGCGGCAACGACGGGCGTGCAACGAAAGGAACATCTTGTAAAAGGGAATTCACCTTCCCATCGTAAAACCGTGCCGCCGCAATTGGCGAACCTTCCATGTTTTTGCGTATGAAAACGCAACGAAACGCAACGAAACCCGGTTTCAGGTAAACTCCGATTCTCGCGATCTCGCGCCGCTTATTCCTACAATGGAACGAACGTACAATGCATCGATCATTCGACGAGCTGAAGGTAACAATGGCCCGTGCCAAGGTTGTGCGGGGGTGGCAGCGTCGAATGCAAGCAGGGAGGCTCCATTGACAGCTGACGGATCGAACGCTCGCCACGTTTTCCCCCAAAATGCACGGGATCGTTTCATGTTTCGTTCACGGACAAATAGCGGCTGGCATGACGCATACGTTCGTTTGTCTCGGAAATCTCCGGTTTCGTTACCGAACCAACTCTTTGGGAAATCGACAGAGACAGAAGGAACCGCTTAATCGTCCTATTGATACGAGTAGTTTGATACCGACCACGGTAAACAGTGTATTCGAAGATCTTTAACGTTACGATACTACCAATCTTTAATATATATTTTCCCAATAATATACTGCATATAATTATGATCGTACTTAAAATGATTTAATAAAAATAGATAAATGTGTAATAATTATGTTTCTATATACGTAAAAAGAACAATATTTTTATAATTATATAAAGTAAGAAGTCCAAAATATGTCGTACTTGGTAGTTTTAGTGTCAACTCTTAACTGCTATGGAAACGGAAATAAGTTAACTCTTTGCTGAGATACCTCGATAAAAAATTCAAATCTAATCTCACAAGTTATAATTTTAAGACCCGATCTAATTGAAGATTACTACAACACTTAGCGTCATGTTTCATTTCACATCGAATTTATAACACTATTTATATCTAACGTCCGCGATACTCTAGGATTCCATAGAACCAATTAAGAATTCAAAATTGGAACTTCCCTTATACAAAAAGACTAAAGTTTGGGCTCGCTATTTATAACTTTATAATTAGCTATCACGATTGAGGACACTCTACCTATTATCTATCTTGCCAAACAATGAAATCATCTAAGGAAGCAATAAAATTAATATCATAATCCAGTAACCGACAAGAGCAAAATTCTAAGATTCAAATGAGTAACTAGTTGCGCAAGCGGATGTAAAATCGGAAATGCCGAATTACCAGCGCGACTTATTGCTTCATCTCGAATCACTCGCGATATTATAATCCGTTGCGTCACCCTGATTTATCGTTATACGCGCTCGTCACCATAATTCCATCGCGCTGTTTCGGCAAAAACGCGCCATGCAACGCGATAAGTAGAGAGAATTTGCATGTCTCGAAGACTCACCGTTTTCGGTGCCTCGAAGGGGGCCAGAAGGACTCCCGCCGGTGGAGACCCCTTCGTCCTCGCTGCTGCTGCTGCTACCATCACTGGGACTGAAACTTCTCCTGCTGCCAGTCCCTCTGACGATCTTCTGTCCGCTACCGGCTGTACCGTTATTATTGTCGTGCATCCTACTCTGCAGTCTCTCGTGTATAGTCCTTACGCGAGAATGTAGCCTCTGTTGTTGAAGGGAACCCACCGAAAAGTCCAAAGGCTGATCGATTTCCGATTGAATCTGCGACTGTCTTTGTACTTGACCGCATACCGTGCCAGCAACCAGACTCTGCGACTGAGGGACTTGCTGACCGAGAGGCGACACTTGCTGTTGCTGCTGTTGCTCTTGATGAACGGTACTTGGCGGACTCCACCACTGGTGACCACCTTGAATGGATCTCCAAGCCTCGATGGTGTTGTTGTTCGTCGGGCTGGTCTGCTTTTGCTTCTGTGGCTGCATCTGCATCTGCTGTTGAGACTGTTGTTGCTGTTGAACCATCGCAACCTCCACCAGGTTATTGTTCTCCAGCAGATGCATGCTGGGGGTCTGCGTCATCGACGACGGCAAAACGAAAGAGGAAGCGGCCACCGAGGGCGGGCTCGGCTCTTGACGCTGTCGATGGATGGAATGATGATGTTGCTGTCTGTGCTGCTGATGTTGAACCGACTGCTGTTGTTGGTGTTGTTGTTGCTGCTGCTGCTGTTGTTGTTGCGAACTAGATGGTACGACAACCGGAGGCGGAATTTGCCGGACGGTCCGCGCGGCC